GAATTCATGGAACAGAGATAGGAATTATATGTAAAAATTCCATGCCTGAGAAAATTGTAGACCAAAATAAGTGGACACAATATGTCCACTTTTGTAAGTGGATATATTCACAGCATTTACTTATTGTTTTTTTTTGTGTGTGTGTGTGGTTTTTAACCAATAATATCCCCGACAGAACATAGGGCTCTAGTGACACTAAGGTGAAGACAGAGGAAGAAATGCCAAGCATAGCTCCAATCATCCATGAAGTAAATCAGCAATGATTTTATCTTGAATTGCTTCTCAAAATGTCATGAAATCTGAGATTATAAATTTCCTATGGCACAACGTCCTGAATATTTTTAAAGCTTTAGTATGGACCCTGAGAAAAGATCCCAGGTAGGGAGGTTTAGAACAATGAATTCAAAATTACAAATAGTACAATACGGACACAGCCTTGGATTGTCCATGATCGCTGTAGGAAGATGTAACCGATGGGAGTTTGGAATCTCAAGTTGGGAATGTACTTTAGCCTTTCTTTCTGAAGCAGCAAATAGTAAGTGAGCAGCGATGCTCTTATGAGTAATGGCTGTGAAGTGCAGAATGAAATTATCAAAATACCACAAAATGATGGCAAATGTTTGCCCTACTTCATTTCCTCAGACACTTTCTAAGCATACATTTTTACTTCTTCTCATCTTTCAGGGTGATATCCACTTTGCTGTTCATTTTAAATGGTTAACACAGAACATTGGAAAGCATTTCTTTATTTTAGAAAAACAGATCTTTCCTTGTGTTGCTTACCGGAAGGGAATTCTACAAAAATTCCTTTGGGAGAGGAGGAATTCTGATTTTTCCACAAACTTTTTGAAATCCTCTTTTGCCTATTGTTTCTAATATATCATCAAATGTTTGAAGCAATACCTGCCCTTAAACTTTGTTTAACTGCTCACAAGCTATTGTTCATCACAGCATGTATGTTAGCAAACAAAAATATTTTAAGCAACGATGAATCAAAGGCCATAAAACAAAAAAAAAATTTTCAGGGTTTATCATTTTTTTCCTCCTAATTTGTACTTTCGTTGAGAAACTGCTTGTCCCTTTTTCAAAAATAACCCAGATGACTAACTACTGGTTGGTGCAATCCCTTTTGGTTTAGTGGCATAGTACCACATATGACCAAAATCAAGCTGGTTCTTTCTTCCTGCCCCAGGTACAAGAGCAGTTGCTGAATCTGATCACAGCAATTAAAAATGTACTATGATAGCCTGCATGTTGTTCTGTGTAATACAAACACCTGCTTGACAATTCCAGGAACTGGCCTAGGGAAAGCAAACTCTGGTGACAAAACATCTGGCTCTGGTCTGCAGGAGTGCAGAGATGGATCTGGAGTTCATGTTGAAGACAACAAGGGACTGTTATTCCCTACCCAGAGACCCTGATGGAGGTGAGGCCAGCCTTCGTTTGTCCAGGATAGGCACCTCCCCTCTTACCTTCCTATTGCATTCCCTGACAAAGCTCCCTCTAATTCAGGAACGGTGTTTGTGACAAACATCAGCTGTGGTTTCACACTCTACTGAATAAACCTGATTTCCTCACACCACTTCTTGTATCCCAAATACTAGCTGTTGAGTAGCAAGTATAAAGAACTTGTTCTTGATAATGAATTTGGCAAGCCGGTCGGGAGCAGCATATGCAAGTGTTGTAGCAATTATCCTTTTCCTCAACAGATTGAGCCAACAACAACGCATCAGAGTGTGTGCAGAGTGTGTAATCTCAAAGCGTTGCAGCAAGCAGTCAGGTCACGAGGACCAGCTGCTTAGGCCAAGCTGACGCTGCAGGTGAGTTTTAAGATTTCCCAGCAACTGCCAAGGGTCCTATGTTCTCAGACACCAAGTGAACCCAGGATTACAAACAGGCCAGACTAACTCCATCCCACTGCTCTTTGGCAACACATACACGTTGAATAAAACAGGAACACTTTTTTGATGCCACAACTAGGCATGCATCTGTCCTTCCACTAACTGGACAGGGACTCGCATTCTTGCTTTTCCTGTTACCCATTTGTCCCACACCTTGGACTAACTTACCTTTCCACCCCTCCAACCCACCCAGTCAAGTGACTTTTGGATGACTTTGTTTTAGGGAAAAGAGCTCTGTTTTTACACCAATACATTGATGCTGTAAGAGAAGGAACTGAATGTGGGTAGAAGAGAAGGGGAGGTGGAAGTGCGAAGGAAATATTCCCAAAATAACTCTGTCTCCTCTTAGCCATCCTTTCCAGCAATGGGCAATGCCTTTATTATCTTCATAATCACAGTGCTTCCAGTCCTACAGTTATAATTAACACAGAGCAATGGATGAATGAATGCTATCTCCCCAGACATTGTGCCAGAACACAACCAGATTGCTCTTCTCCAATCAAAGATCTTGTTCCACATGAACAACCCTTATCTTCAAGAAACACACAGAAAGCAACCTTTATATCTTCAGTAAGAAATGAAGCAAGCAGAGTCAACCAATCCTCCTTGTACTGACACTGGAGGCATAGTCTAAAACTCTTCTCTTGTACTAGCTGGTACCAAAAAGAACTTAGATCCACATGGAGTATAGCCTCAAAGGAAGAAATTAAAGCTTGCTTTTGGTGTTCAACATACTTGTGTGATAATTTCATCATCTTTGGTAAAATATAGACGACTAAATTTCGGCCCTTTCCCAAATCACCTCTGTGCCATAATCTTGCTGACTGGGAAGCTCATATTTGTGATTTCAGGGCTAAAAAAGAAAGTGATAATACTGAATGATCTATGTGACATGTTCCAAAGATCAAGGGCACTCACAAGCTCTCCCTAAGCTCTTGGATTCAACTTGAATTCCACAGGAGCACCAAACAGAACTGACAGCAGGAACATCAATGCTCAATATCGTTGAAATAGTTTCTGACACTGGCCCTTGGTCATCAATCTTTCTACCAAGTGTAGGAACAAATCAGACCAACTGCCACAATAATTCCATCCTACCAATGAGGGAGAAACCAAACTCAGCTATGATATGATTGGTTAGTGATATTTACAAAAAAAGTATCTTTTTTATAAGACAGGGAATAAAAGTCATCAAAATCAAGATGATGTCAGTGGTGTCAGTGTGATGGAAAAGCAGACAAAGCCAACGGTTAACAAAGAAAGAATACTTCCATCGGACTGTGACAGTAACTCTTGCAGCATGCAGATGGCCACCGCTGCAAGAGAGAAATGCTCTCGGTGTCTTCACACCTCCAGCCCAAACACCACTAAACACTCACAATAAGATGCCAAACAAGACCCTCCACTTGTTGACAAGTGTTAGCACATCCAGTGCTGTCCCAGCATTTGGACTTAGATAATACAGGGATGTAAAAATAGTGGCCAGTTTTTGTCGAAGTAGTTATATCAGCACCTTTATACACAGAAATACATAAACAGACACATAAATTTTGTGACTGATTCTTCTAATAATATTAAGGGGACATCAGGGTTTAATATTATTTTTAAATACATGCAAAATCTCTGTGAACGGACCTCTGGAGCCAGAAATGCTTTTAGTGATAACTATCTCCTTCTCTCCCCAAGAGAGAACATATGAATTTCATTCTGTCACATTCTCTTCCATTCCAACAGCCACTGGGACATCTCCATTTGAAAAGTAGTCAGAATACGATCAATTCTCCTTTTTGCAAAGAAATTGAATGGAAGGAGACAGCAGGAAATTTCCGAAATCAATTAGAGTAAAAATTCTGTCACACCCATTGTAAGAATAATTGCTTTAGTTGGTGACTTGGCTTATAAAGAAAAAAAAAATAATAATGGCAATCACAGCCCAAGCCTCACATTGTAGATTGTGAATATGTGTTTGGGATTGGAAGAAGAATTGTGAAATTATTTGATCTGGTCACTGTGACCAGAGATTGTATTTACAACTAGAAATTGAAGCTAACCACCAGGAATCCCTGACGGAGTCTGTCAGCTGGCAGCTACAGTGCAGCTGCTCCCCCTCGTTTCCAACAATCCCCCCTCCTTCCTCTAAGTGGCCCTCTTCAAAACACCTCCTGCTAACTTGAGAAACGGAGATACTATCTGTGACAAAATGCCTACTCTGCCCAAGCTTCTGTTTGATGAATAAGTTTGATTTCCCTCCATTAACCTCTGTCTCCTAAATATTGGTTTTTGCGTTTTGAGAAGTGGGATTATTATTTTTTTTTCATTCTGGCCAATCTACAGTCCACTCTTGTACCAAGTTATTATTTCAGTGAATTCCACGTGATGTCAACTCTTCACACATATACTGCAATATTGAAATTATATTCCTCAAAGACTGCGTCTCATAGGCACCAGAACAGTATTAACTAACCAATTCATGACATTACTTTAAAAATAGTTTTCCTCTTGAATTTAATAGATGTACATGTTACAAATTAAAAAAAGGACACCAGGATATTGTTGGGAATCAATGCATATACCATTCCAACCCTGTTTTCATTCCTGTAACAAATCCTCTAAGCGATTTCAGAGATTTGGTTCCTAAAGTTGATGTCAATGTATACTATCACATTTACACTAATAGAGGCGTTCTAAAAAAGTAGCGTATGTTTTCACAGAAATGCATTTTCATATAAAATGTATATATTCCTCATTTATTAATTATATTCTTAGAGATACAAAATTCAATTACACACATACTATCAGATTTTCTTCAGACAGCCTTCTAAAGTTTCATTAATGGATACTTTTCCTATGAAAACTTCATTATCTTATTTGTGTCATAACTTGCTAATCCCAACAGCACAAATGATTCAGATAGTTCTAAATGAGCCACAATTCTAACTTGTCCATAGTACATTTCTCAGGCCATACAACAGACCTATGAATGTCCTAATAATTGTCTTCCACCCTACAGGCAATATTTAGTAAGCTCATCAGACTTAGCAAGCCTGTTATATAGACTGAAGCAGACATCTCTGCAAGTGACTCCATGTATGTACTCACGTTGATGTCTTCCAAGTCTAAATTATTCAGAGCAATGTTGTTCCTCTTCCAGACAATGGGCGGCCTCAGAGATCCCTGAATGGCACAGCTTAAGACAGCACTTTGTCCCACAGTTGCCGCAGTAATGCTTAGCTTCTGGTCCTCAGGCAGATTCAATTGGATCACCTCTGCAAATAAAGTGTCAGTACATTGATGAGTATGTATTTTCATGAGGTTAATGAATATAAAGTTTCTCAATACTGGTAATTAAGTCTTTCAATTTGAACGAAAAGAAGAAAAGCCTGTGATGAAATGAAGAAAGAGTAAATTGTTTCCAATAAAAGGTCAGAATGACATTTCAATTTAATTGATTGACAAGCATCATTATGAGGCAAAGAACTATTAAACATGAAATGAATATCAGAAGTAGAGTTATAATAAGTCTGTCAGATTGCACCCAAAAGAGAAATAAATTATTTAACTGCCAAATCGGCATGTAGTGTGTCAGCGGCTTTGAAATAAAAATGATGTTGTTTATTCACTGATAGATTTATATTGCAGGTGAGGTGAGCTCATTGCTGGCTGGCTTCATAAAACGCTAGCACAGCACAGCCGAGTGGGTGAAATGCTTCATTTTGCTGGAAAGCATACATTGACTCTAAAGGAATCAGATTTGTTTGGAAAGATAACAAAAAGAAGATATTAAGTTGACAAAATGCAATTAAGTGAAATTCTGTCAGCTTTCTTTTCCAGTATGGGTTTGTTACAGTTACTCATCAATCTTTAAACTTTGATATTAAATATAAAATCTTCAACTAACCAACACACACATTTTTTATTACAATTATGCTGAATAATAACAACATTACGTGAAATAAGGTTACACTTTTCTTTTCTTGTTTTCAAACAGTCTTTACCAGCCAAGACAGTGGCCACTAAACTATTGCTAATTATCAGAAGAGAGAAGCATAATGTCTATTAATTCTACGTCCACACGAAAACTGCCTTTGGTCTCCAGTGGACACTCTCACTTTTCTACAACAAGGGTTTTGCTTTCTTGCTCAGTCTTGCCATATCATGGAAATCACAAATGATTACTGCAAATCATTTCAATTCCAAGGTAAAACAGAGAGGCTGCTGTGGCAGGTGATGTTTTTCTTGGGGAGTTGAGTGGAGGAAATGCTGTCTTTTAATTTGCATTTGCATCCACCGCAGTGTCCACCACAAAATATCTTCTTCCCTTTTACCACTTTAGATCTCCGCTTCTCTTAATCCTGACTTCCTCCTGAGAAGAGACATCCATCAAGAGAATTTTACCTATTCTGACTACTCAGTAAACAGAACTTGGCTTTTGGTTGCCTCATTATTCTGACCTGTTCTGTTTATTTGTCGTAAATTCACACATGTGGTTGCACATGTCACTGGGCTATCAATACTGCTTGGTGCACAACTGTCTTTCTTTTCTGTAAGATCTTATTTATCCGAAATGCAGATTTACATACAAAGAGGGAACAAGAAGCAAAGAGGGATATTCAGTCTCCTGGTTCACTTCCCAATGTCCGCAATGGGCAGAGCTGAGCTGATCCAAAACTGGGAGCAAGTAGCCTCTTACGGGTCTCTCACGCGGATGTGGTGGGGCCAACCTCCACTTCTTTCCCAGGTCATAAACGGAGTTGGATGTGAACTGGAGCAGCCAGGGCAACAACCAGCACCCATAAAGGATGCCAGCACCTCGGGGTTCAGAGTTAGTTTGCTGCACCACAGCATCAGCCCCGACACAGCCTTTTGCCGTGAATTCTCATTGGTTAGGGTAAAGCGATTCAGTTGCCACCAATGTCTTGTACATTAACTAAATGTTCACTGCCATGTTAAAAAGTTATTATGTCTGTAAAGAAAGCATGCTAACCAGTTGCTATTTTTTCATCTTATCTTGAGGCAGTAAGTTAGTGTTAGAGCCAGCCAAAGGACACCATTTGTAGCCTTCAATAAACAGAAGAATTTCAACTCGTTTTTAGATGACAGTCAGCAGTAAATGAATACATTTTATTCTCCAAGTGGTGTAATTGTATTGGAGCCTTTCAGACTAAAAAATATGGTAATAGCGTTTGCCTAATTAAAACAATTCAACTAAAAAAGGATTTTTTAAAAATTTGTTGCCTAATAATGTTGGGTGAACATTGATGAAACAACATTTGCCTTTCCTGTGAAGTTTTGTAGTTAGGCTTTCTCTTACGTTAGAGCAGACAGACATGAATGACGGGGACCCGAGCCCTGGCTGTTCATTTTGACAGCTCCTTGAAGGGTCCAAAGACTGCATTTCTCCTGTGCAAATCCAGAAACAAATTTAACGATTCCACCAGAATTAATTAGGCTGTTTGGGATTGACTGAGCTAATCAAAATCACAAGATACCTTTGTTTATACCGGAATACCAATGTATTCACTTACAATAGGGTAGGCACTAGGTTTCGTTACCAGGGTCAGCTGTGAGCCTGGGAATCTCTCCTGTAACGCAAAGGTCAAAAGCTTCACAAGATTGATTAAGAGAAAATTACGAAAAAGGGAATGGGCGAGTCCAGGCCGTCCGACGCTCATCAGCTAATGAATTGCCCTTTGCAACTGTAAAGACATTTCTGTCTCGAGAGCTTTTCTTTCTCTTGTCACTTTCAAGTTTACTGACAAATCCTTAGTTCTTTTTTTTAAAAGAACACACTGCCTATCAACATCCATGTGCAAGTAGCATTTTAACTCGGCTCCACTGGTGAAAACTAAGTACAGTAGGCCCTCTTCACATCTGCAAGTGTTCCCATGGCTCTGGGCTTGGCAAACTGGGCCCATGGACCAAACCCCATCTACTGTAAAGTCTATTGGAACACAGCCCTGCCCGTTTAATGCTCTCTTGTATATGCTGATGTGTCTGGCCGCCTTCAACTACAAATGAACGGTTGAGTAGTTTCAAATACTCTGGGACCCTTTGTGCTAATAATAACAACAATAAATTGCCATTTTTGTTGCCATATTTTGGCAATGACCACTTTGCCATTTTTACAATCCTTAAGTTACTAAAACGTGATCTATTCGCCTTATTCTGTTTAGAAAACTAGGCACAAATAATTATACATAAATGCATGAAAATTGCTCCATTTATATATCATGTAGTTAATAAACTACCATTTTATTTTTAAAGATCTCTGATATTTCTGTAAATATTGGAATATGCCTCTGTCGAAAATGTAGACAAAGTTCTTCTAATTTTTGTTTGTTCTTGTTATTTTCAGTTGGTTGAAAGAAAGATCTCTTTTATTCACTGCTTCACTCTCCAGACGCCTGCAGTCACTGGAGCTGGGACAGGTGGCAACGTGGAGCCAGGAACTCCGCTTAGGTCTGAGACACAGCATGGGAACGTGAACCAGCGCCTGCTGCCTCCCGGGTCACATGTCAGCAGTAGCAAGTATGAAATATCTCTGCAGTTATTCTCTTGCTAACCCCAGTGCTTTGTCTTTCTCCTTACGTTTTGTTTGTGTCTGTTGTTTTTGTCCTTCAAACACTTTGTCTCTACTGAAGTTAACTAAAGTTTCCATGCCTTTTTCACTTGTCTGTTATTTCTTTGACAGAAATTAGGTTTTGTCTGATAAACCATCGATATTTTGCTGATCTACTTCACTCATCATTCCTGCTCTTGAGGATGTTTGTAAACCATTGAGAAGATCAGTCATACCTGCCTAGGTTTAAAGTTGGAGAAACACACAGTTGACTTAATTTAATACTTTTTACAATTCTACAATTGTTGCCATATCATGACATTTCTAGTCACACAATGCTAAGGGGGGGGGCATCTTCTTTGCATATGGATATATTTCTCATTACTTTAAGTATGAGCATCTCTTAATACGTTCTGGGCATAATTTTATACTGTAAGACCCTAGGTTTTTGAAACCATCTTAGGTAAATACAGTATAGTTTGAATCTTTTCAGCTAATTACATGTTATCTCATGCTCAGAAATTCAGATTTAAGGTCATTTGTCTTCCCCATCAGAACAAAGCACAGAAATGAGCAATTGTGCAATTAACTCAGTAATTGTGAGTAGATGTTCTGTACATTTATTGTTTAAAATATACCAGACTTAAATTACAGACTGAGTATGAATTATGATTCTATGAACAAAATCAATGAAATGGTCTTCCCTGTATAGATCAAAAATTTACTTAGAATGAATATTATAAAGTGTATTTTGTGACTTTTGTTAAAACACAAAAATGTCCCTAGTCTTTGTTGTCTGAAGCAATTGCTAAGCATTTGTCCTAAGTTTCTCAATTTTGTGGAGATCTTAATGAGAGTATATATTTTCTGGATTTTTCTTTTTAAAAGGGAGATGGAGACATAGAGAATGGGGACTTCCATCCAGTTCATGACTTGTCAGTGCCTGTGACACAACAACTGTACAACATGCAGGAGCTCAGAATTCACCCCGCCTCTCCCGTGCCCCAAGCAGGTGGCAGTGCCCAAGCACGTGGGCTATTCTCCACTGCTCCTCAGGGTGAATGAGCCATAATCTGAAATTCAAACCACGAATTGGGCCAAAATCCCAGGTATGAGTGAAAAGACCAGTATACCTACGAACCCTTTCTACTTTTTATTTCAGCAAACAGTGCAAACAATTTCCAAACAAATTGTGTAAACAATATATTTCGTAAATATATAACAAATTTTGCAAACAAGTATACCTCAAAAATTAGACACACTGCATTAAAAATGTGTTAGAATAGTCAACATGAATTTAGTAAGTTTTAAATGAAAAACCAAAGTTCAAACTGTGTAGTGTCCTATAAAAAACAAAAGAAATTTTGAGTGAAAGAGATGAAACAGAAAGTCAAATTCATATGCAGATCAGTCTTAGTCTGTCACTATATTCATGATTGTACTAATTAGACATTAGCTAAGTTTCAAATGCCCTATTTACACATGGAAACATACATTCTTATAGGAAGCTAACGCATAGTTTTACAGCCTTAACATTGTAATACAGTGGAATTCCTTGGCGAGAAAATCTCAGTGGTAAGGAGCAGTAATGAGGAAGAAACATTAAATGGTTTGAGCACAGTGGATTTGACTCAAAATTTGTGCAGAGTAGGGCCCAGCGTAATAGCCTAGCTACTAATAAGTCCTCGCCTTGCATGTGCTGGGATC